GATTTGCTGCCAATTTCCACTCGAGTAAAAATAGCAAAAAACTGTTTTATTTTCCAAACATTCTTCTGTCAGAGAACCTGTATTGAAGGGCTTTAGATAGGTGCATGCTGACACACTGCTAATGAGCCTTAGCATCAGCAAATGGTTTAAAAACCACCCATATTCCTATAACTAAATTGTTCAACATTGCCTTGTATGTTCTTTTACTCGCATGAAAACACAGGAGGCTTCTTAAACTGTAGCTTTTCCCAAAAAAGCTAAATGCCAATAAGGCAGCTGGTGTCATATGAAAGGACAAATTATGATCCTGATTTTCTAAGTACAATTAAAAATATAAAAGAACTGACTAACTTTTCTGAAAGTAACCTACTTCCTGTTATTGACTAAAATGACAAGTGTTAGACAGTTACTATTCTTTAGTGCCATTATTTAGGTCTGTTCAGCATCACTCTCACTTTGGATCTTCAACTGACAGTTTCTCAAAAAAACATGGACATTAACTGACATTCAGTGGAAAAAAGTAAGAAGATTTATAAATCCCTCAGCATGCCACTGAACTGAATCTTATATGAGCAAGACTAAAAAAATACTACCTTGCATTCCTAACTTAACTCATATTGGTCTCAACAGGCTTTAAAAAAAAACCTAAAATACTATTTGAAGGTGGGGGAAAAAAACCACGGCCTATTAACTCAACCCTAGTGTGAGATAGTTATAGAAACAGATTGCATACCTAAGTAAATGTTAACAGTCTAGAGCTTTGACACAACCACAACTTTCAATGCTGACTTTTCTTTAAAAAAAAAAAAAAAAAGTAATCTGAACCCAGACATCCTTTGAGATGTCTGCATCAATTTTAGGATTCTTCATTTTTCAGTTGCTGACTGCAGTGCATTTTTTCTGTGATAATCTGTTTTGCACAAGTTTTCAAACACACTCAGCAAACAAGGGGCAGATCATGCTTTAAAATATATATATGTGTATACACACACACATAAAATTTACAATTCACTGGTAAGCTGCGTGACAATCGGATGCATCAGTGCCATATGATCTGGAACTCCATCTTCCTCCTGGGAGAGGGTTTTTTTTTTTTTTTTCCTTGAAATGCACTGACAGTTTGCATATTCCATTTCTCCAAGAAACTTTTTTGTAATTCTTACAAAAGAAATGCATGACATGCTATTATGGACAACAAAATTTAAAGTCAAGAGCTCTTTTCCAGAGCCAGGAAAGCAGCAGATACAAGTCTGCCTTTGTAGCCCCATATTTCTGGAAAAAAAATGAGAACTACAATTTCAATATTCTGGATGAAGCATCATACTATTAATGTATCTAAAAATCCTTTTCCTTTCCCAATAAATTAATTTTTAAAAATGTTAATCAGAAATCCACAGTTGTTATAAAAATGTGGGGTAGACCATTCTTAAATTACTAGAAATGTAAATCAGGACATTTTAGAAATCACATTATTTGAAGCTGCTATTTTCCTGCTTTAATAGTTCCTCATTGGATATATGTTTTGCTGTCTTTTGCTATTTGATCCTCATTTTACTTCTGTTTTGACATGCCCTGAAGCTTTATGACTAACATCCATCTGATATAAAGGCTAGTATTATGGGAATAAAACACCCCTTGGCAGAAGCTTTAAAATACTATTATGTTTCTCAGTGTGAAACTGAATTTTTGAATGCCCATGCTTTAACTCCCACCGTCTCAGCAACCCTTTTATAGCAATTTTTTTAAAAGTTAAAATTCAGCAGGCATGTATGCTGTATACTGGTTATTCTAAAATACTGATCATCTAAAGTAAATGGCTAAATAGCTGAAAAAAATGATGTGTATGCATAACTCTTCTGAGCTGGATAGCATGAATACTGCCTGTATCTTTAAAGCCTTTTAGTATTCATTTAGCACTACACATGCATGATGCTTTCCAGGTTAAATAGCACAGCTACCCAACAAACCCAATGATTTCCAATGACACCAAGATGTTACATAGTGTGAACCAATTTCAGGTTGTATGTTTTGTTGCATAAAAATACTTACTAATTGGACCTTAAGCCATTGTGAATCTTAGAATCCATGAGAATTTAGAAACAGTGGGTGGTGCTAGAGTAGAAGGGAAGTGAAAATACTCCTACAAAGCTGCATGTTATATGCCTTAAATAACCACATTACTAGTGTTGTTATATACACAATTAGATCAGGAGAAAAAAAGATGTTTTTTTGTTTTAAATCATGCGAGTATCAAATGTCCCTACAATCCAGGTTCTCAGAACATTTAGGAAAATGCCTAAACTGGTCTGACTCATTCTTTCCTGCCACCCAATATAATTACCATTGCCAATAAATACACTAATGTCTTACTTCCAATTAGGGCAACAATATTTTGTAGGAAGTTTGATGGCATGTTAGGTATACATAATGCAGCACTGAAAGAACATTCTAAAAGAATAATTCTGCAAACCCAAGCAAGTGAGGTGCCTCATTTGATGTCTAGGGAACTTAATGTGCAATAAATTACTTGCATGAATAAGGATTTGCAAAAAATCAGGTCTTATGTTGTTGAATAGAGGCCGATTATTTAGGTAAATTATCATTTTTTGTTTAGTCCAAATTACATGTACTGAACAGGCTACAAATCTGTAGGGCTCTCCTCCTACCTGTAAAAGCTCCCTACGTAAAGAAGTCTCAGTTGGCTTTTTTCCCCCCCCGATATTGTAATATTAATTTCTTAGGAAATTCTACGGACCACTTAAATCAGGGCTGTCCAACTGGCAACCTGTGAGCTGCACGCAGCTGCTCAGGCTGCTACCCAGGCACCACTCCCCACACCATGGCTCCTACTGCAGAGTGAGCTGGGGTCTCCAGGCACCATCTCCCCTCCCCTCCCCACTTCAATTTTTGCTTTCTGCACATGTCCCAGGGAGGGGGCCCAGGAGGAGGGGCTGGGCTGCCTGTACAGCATGTGTAACAGGGTGGGTGGCTAGGGAGTGAGGCTGCTTGCATGGGGAGTACAACAGAGGGACAGAAGAGGGCAGCTGCTACATGCAGCCCACATGGGACATGGCCTGTTGGTCGGTGGCCTATGCAGCATGCAGCTTCCCATCAATCAGAAGCTGGACAGCCCTGACTTAAACCTTTGATCACGGTTATTGACCAATAAAGTAGGACCATTTTTTCACCAAAAATAATTGTATTTGGTAGTTTAGTAATGGTACAACTGAATCCAAAACGTTTTTAGAACTTACCTTAATTACAGCAATCTGAAGCTCCTGCTTCTCTGCTCATTAAGTGAACTCTTCATCCAATACATACTGAATTGCCTTGTTTTCATAAAAAGGCCTGGTCTACACAGATTTTGTACCTACTCAACTATTTCAGTTATTTTCTATTGAAATGTTCTACCACTAGTATGGACCGTGCATTCTCATATAAAGATGCCCTTTCTTTTATAGGAATCAGCTATATGATTATCAGCACAGTTATAGTGGTGTAACTGTATTAACCCTAAGAGATTGTGAACTTATCCTAGATTGGTATGGGAAAAAGCCATACAAGTTTAAGCAGGGCCCCCTTTACTTCTGATGTTACTTACTTAAAGAAAAAAAAAAACATTTCTGCAAAATATTTAAAACCTGAAATGGAAATTTAAAATGAAAGTTTTTACAAAACAAGCATTAAATCAATCAAATAAATAAATAAATAATAAATAAATAATTAGGTGTCTACTAAAACAACGCCAGACTTATTAATTTAAGTAGGGACAAAAGGATCAACAGATAACTATAATTAGTTGTCTATTATAGCTGTATTTCTCAAAGAAATGCAGTAAAATATAGGGTTAGGCAAAATTTAAAAAAAATATTTGAAAGAGTTCAAAAGTAGCAGTCTTGGTACATAAATTTGAATTTAAAGCATTATAAATGCTACTAAAATAGAAAAACTTAAAAAGGGGTCCCCTTGATGTTTAAAAATTCAAGCAATGCAGCACACTTGTCTTAAATTTGTGTCTCTTAATAGATCATTTAAAAGTTCAAAATTAAAAATTAAATTGTGTTAAAATATAGCTAATGAAAGCTGGGAAAAAGGAATATTTGTATTCATTAAATTTCCAAGTGAGATAATTTCATGAGACACCTATTTATCAGGTGCTCTGTAAATGTGAAATGAAAGATTTCACGTAACACCACTCTTTAGCTGGAGTCAATCAAAAACATGCTAATAGCACAGAAGTCTTGTTCAGATTACAAAGCAATATTTACTTACCTTTAAGTGAGCTAACAAGAGTTTTAGGACATTAACACAAACCCTACTAAATTATAATATGCACTACAATACCTCTGCCTTATTTCCTTTTATATGTTTCTGTGCATGTGAAAAATGTGTGATATGAGCACACAAGGAAAATAAAGAGTACTAGTCCCACTTAAAGTATAGCATTAAGTGAATAAAAAGATAGGAAGACCACTTCTCATCTATCTGAAAGCTAAAAGTTGTTTCTAAAATATAAGTCCCATTGAAAACTACGTTGGAGAGTTCAGTCTTTACACTGGCAATGCAAATATAAAACCTGAGACGTGCCAAAGCTAAATTAAATTATGAAAATAAAAGTTGTTAGTACAATGAAATGCTAAAACAGGTGTGCCTTGTACAATTTAGAATCTTCTGAATTTTAGCTCCTACCAATACTTACCTCCGAGAACAGAAATAGGTATAAGTTTTGGAAAGCACAGAGTAGCTCGGCAGCTGGTTTACATCCAGAAATCAGTTGTGTACAGCTTGGTAAACCCTAGCCAAATAACATAACTTACAAATGATGCAAGTGAACCTTCAAATTTTCTGATGTGCATGTCTGGAATCTTTGAAGGTGGAGAGAAAAAATTTAGAGTCATATTAAGAAGATACTAAGCTTCCTAATCTTGCAGAGGCAAGAATGGGTGGGTACTGAAATAAAATTAAATTATTACTCAGGAATATCCCTATACGATACATACATTTGAACAACAGTGAAGATGAAATGGCAGCAGTCTTTTCTGGCTTTACTGCATTGTAATTATGATCGCTTGCCCAGGACGGTGTGCTGTTTTCTGAGGCTGGCTCTTTAGCAACCTGCTGAGTGTTCGCCTCAGTCTTGGGGGTTGTCACCACAGCTTTCTTCATGTTCATCTCTCTTTTCTCAGGAATCTGTCTCTTCTGGGAGGACACAGGTTTAATACCTGCCTATATAAGTAGTAAAACCTTCATTAGTAATACTTGTAATCCCAAAAAGGACACGTGTATTAAGAAACAATTATTTTTATATATACAGTAAATACATTTGAGAGTATACAATCAAGATTCAGATTCAGGTCTCTAAAGCTAGGATAAGGCATTAACTTAGCAGGAGTTATACCTCTGTATAACCTAAATTATACAGAGATCCTGCCAAGAAGTTGACACTGAATTGTACTTAGCATTAATTATGTGGACATCTCCATACCTAACTATACCTGCCATTTTAAAGTAGATTACAGAAATAGACAACTAAAGTATGGCTTTAAAGGGTCTCTAGAAGTTAGCTTTTATTTAGTTACAGTAGACAAACCCTCTACCTACGTAGCTCCTACCTCCCACAACCCTGCTACATTGATCTAGAATTCTAAATCTGTAACTTAGTTCTAATAAAAAATTCCACAAAATTATTTAAAAAAAAGCTGTTGATAGTGTTTACAGGGCATTTAAAGAGGAGGACATTTTAAAAGCTCTCACTTTCCTGTTGTCTTTATGTTATTAAAATAAATCCAATTAAAATGCTATTTCGGGACAGAAAATAGCAAAAATATGGAAGGAAAGAGTTCCTCTCCAATATAATATCTTGCAACCATCTCTAAATGAAAAACTACTAGAAACTGTGCAGAAACATACAGAAGCAAGTCACCATGCTTCAGGACAATGGCTGCCCCTAAGTTTTTCATTATATCATGCACAGACACACACTTACCTGTGGCTGAGGTTTTGGTACAGTTGATTTTTCAGATTTTGGTTTGATCTTCTCTTTTGGTTTTGCATCTTTGCCTGCACTGAGAAATTTCATGGTGGCTGCAGCGTGCTTAAGAATGCAGTCACTACTGCAATACACAGAATCAGGCTGAGCCACATTAAAACAGCCAGGACCAATGCATTTAGATGCACCAGGAGCCTCAGTTACCTGAAGGGTGAAACACAGAAAGTTCAAACTATTTTTTTAAAAAAAAACTAGTTCTCTGCAACATTGAAGCATCTATGTGTTAATTTTCTTTCAGCGTGCACTTCACGCATGCTTAGTCACAGTGATAGAGCAGTGTGTAAATGCTAACTTAGAAGTATAACAGCACTTTTCAGTAAGCATCAGACTCTACAGTGACCTACAGTTGTGTATAGGATAACAGCAGTCAGCCTAAACACTTCACTCTTGAAAGGTCAATAAAGTATTTATACAATCATTACAATATAATCTATAAGAGGGTCTCTTGATTAATATTAAACAGAAAAGCATCAGAGATTTGAACCTCATTTCTCATGGAATTAGAGATATTGGAGATGGAAGAGACTTATCAGAGTAACAACACTGTCAGTGCAAAGGATGCTGTAGGCAATGGTTTTCTCCAGTTTTGTCCAACGTAATTTAAGAATTTGAGGCAATGGGGAAGACTGTTACAGCCTAATATTTTTTTCCCTTTCAGGTTAGAAAGTTCCCCTGACACTCAGTCCCAGATATCCAAATTTCATGCCACTACTTGTAAGTCATACCAGTGTTGTGAACTAAATAATTCCTCTCCCTCCTCAGCATTAAGATATACTAGTAACAGCTGCTTTGAAAATGTGACAGATAAGACTAGAAAGAAATCTACAGATATTTGAGTGATGTTATTACATCTCCCTTTTGTTACTGTTTAGTTGCAATATATCTATTTAACTCTATCAACGGTCCAAGTAGATAGTGCACTGGACCAAGAGTCAAGAAGTCTGGATTGTAGTTCTTACTGTACTAAATCTACAGATGAAAAGCACTTTATTATTCCTTCCTCATGTATCATATATTCCTCTCCCCGCTCTCTTCTTATATCCCTTCCACTTGTCAAAGTTCTTTCGATAACGTGTTGATCAGAATCAAAAAAGTAACCTTTCACGTACAGTCAAAACAGTTGGGGGGAAGTTTATGAGCTCTGCACTAGCAAACCAAAATTGCGCTGGCTTTTTTAAATGCCTTATCCCAGTGTACGCTCATGCACTACCTTGCACTTTTTTCAACTTTATCATATTTGTTATTTCTGCTCTTGTATATAAATCACTCCACACCCTATCACATCTCCATCCTCACTGGTTATTCCCTCTTCCAGACCACTAGCGAAGATGTTAAATAAGAACATGGGGTTGACTTATACACTGTTTCGACTTATATACCACAAAATACAGTACCTAATACTTCCTATGACTGAATTCTATTAGATAGCCTTCCCTGACTCAGTGTAGTGTTGTTTCCATTTATTATTTAACATTTTAATCCACAACAGTGCAGCTAACCACAATGATCTGAATAAATTTTTCAATTAAGATGTAATGAGGCAGTACTAGTTGCTTAACTAAAACCTGAATACCACATTACATAGAAATAATTTTATTCTTCAGAATAACCCCATAGAGTGCATACATTTTTCACATCTGACAATAATATATAATAAAAATTAAGTAAATGCTCCTGAGAAGGAATCTCATATTTCAGTTCAGTCTGTCTCTGTGTCAAAAAGGGCCCAATCCTGCACCACTCAAATTAATGGTAAAATTGCCATTACTATTATTTTATTACCATATTTTATACAGAAGACCTAGTCATGGACCAAGACTCAAGTGTGCTAGTGCTATACAAACACAGAACAAAAAGACTAAATGTTTTCAGCCAGGACTAAGACCAAAGCAAGAGAAAAGACTGCTGAAGACAGATGGAAAAGCACAAGGAAACAATGCAACTGTAGTGATCAGCATAATAGGCTGCAATCTCAGCACAGAAAGAGTGCTTATTTTGCAGGCATCACAGTAAGCAGCAGTTTAAGGAGGACTTGGGGCACCAGTTCCCAAAAACTGTGGGTTGTGACCTCAAATGGGGTCACAACATCAGTGGATGGGGTTGCAGCACAGTGCTCTTTCCCACACCAGGTCTTACCTGCTGGGCTGCACAGGCCAGAGGGAAGGGCAGCAGAGCGGGGAACCCCAAGTCCAAAGCCCACATTCCCCCCCTTGATTGGTATACATCAATCTCCTTCCAAGCATACAACAGCATGGGAAAAGCACACCCCTACTGTGCAACCTCATCTTTTTCAAACTGCCATAGGGTTATTCTGTCATAAAACTACCCAAGTCTGATATTGAATGTGCTTAAGGAATATAGCTAAGGTAAGAATAAGAAGCCTTATAATATAGCCACTTTTAGTTGAGTTTCTTATTTAAGAAGGCTCCAAGACGTGTAGGACTAAAATTTATTAACTAATCAATCGTGAATAAAGTCAGTAGAGCAAACAGAATTTCACTCGTTATTACAGTAAATAATCCTTACCTATCTGTAAAACCATTTCTGAATTCGACAAAATTAGTATCAACACATGGGAATAATGCATTAAAACTTATAAATATAAAATGCAAGTGTTCTTTAAAAAAATCATTTAAAAATAAATAATGAAAGGTATTTATTTTACAAACTTGTCTGTAGATGAGTGAAGACTTTCTATGCTTGCGTTACATAAAGTTTTCACTCCAGAGTTCTCACTTATCCCTGAATTTAGAACTGGAGTAGAATTAGCCAACACAGAAATCCAGTGCCAGTTATAATTTTCCATACACACTGGCAACAGTTTGAAAGAATAACTAAAATATTAGACAAGTTTTAAGAGCCATTTTTAAACAACAAGCTCTATGTATTAAGAGCTTAAATGAGTTATGTGATCAAACTACTTACACTAGCTAGAAGTAGACAAACTAGACTGATTCCGAGTATGAACTGACAAGTATTCTGACATTACTAATTGGACACTTCCTGCACTTATTTGAAAAAGGACAATTTTAAAATAAAAACCAACCAACCAATCTGGAATTTTAAGAGCAATAAAAAAGAAAAGGAATTGAGTCAGTGCCTTGACTCCCCAAATTACCATGTTAAAAAGTCTAAAAGATGCCTAATATGCAATTAAATTATTTTCCCTGAATCTTGACGTACAGTTTGTAAATCTGCATTTCAAAATGAAAATGTTCTAACAATTGTGCTACTAATTCAGTTCTAGGTCAACATATTTAACCATCAGAAGAGAAACAAACATCAATTTAAATACAGTATTTTTTAAATATAAAAACATGTTAAATGCCATAGCCCACAGATAAACTATTGTTCCAATATAGCTGGTAGAATAAGACAACTAAAATACTTACAGGTTGAAATATCTTGAGTTTTTTCTTCCCACTTGGATTGGCAGCTTTTTCAATCCGACCTTTGATTCCTTGGTCCTCAACAGACTTCTGTTCGACTATGCCAATACTTGTGAGTTCTGTGCCATCAATATTTAATTGCCTTGACTTAGCTTCTTGTCGGTCTGCTTCTGAAATGGTCTCATCTTGGCCCTGCAGAATGGTGCAATTTGGGCAGATGTAGTCCTCTCCATTCCTTTCCAACAGCCGCCCACGAGCCTCAGAAATCCCCACACAGTCACCATGAAACCATTCCTCACATCTGTCACAACAAATCATAAATCTGGAAAGACATAAGATATTGAAGTGTAAGTAACACAGAATTCCAGAATAGTGATATACTTGCAGTAACTTACTATAACTTAGAAATGTGAATAAATATGTATATGCATTCTATTAAATATAATCAAATTAGATATTCTTCATACTCCCTCAGATTACCAAAAATATTTATCTCTGTCCCAAAATGCAAACATTAATAGAAGACTTATTTCCTACTGGAAGAGAAGCATTATTTAAACAGTATTTTTAGATCAGGATTTGGCAATCTACAGCCCAAGGGCCAGATGAAACCACCAAAAGTCACTGGATCTGGCTGGTGGAGCTGAGGCATCAGCAGTGACGTTGGGCCTCTGTGGTATTTGGCAGCAGGAGGCTCTGCCTGCAAACATGGACATATGGCCAGTTCCTAGTGTCAGCCCAACTTGGCCCCGAGCTGGGCCATTCCAGCCCACCACCAGAAACCTTTGTTGACTGCTGTTTTAGATAACATTTTCCATATGTACAGCTTACCTATTATTGTGAGGCTGGCGACAGATACAGTAGAGTGTATTTGGATCATAAATCTCAGACTCAGGTTTGCTTTTCATGAATTCTTCAGGCTCTTCACCTTTGATCACCTTTGCTCCCAAGGGAGGTTTTATTTCTTTCTTGACCTGAAGTTCTTCTGTAGGCTCCTCAGATGCATCTACTTGACTGTCAATCTCAGTGCAGTCTGTGGATTCGGGTTCTTGTTTAACAGGCACCTCAGCCTTCACTTGATTTCCTTCCTGGGGACTACCTGTTTCTGCAGGATTCTGTTCAAGGTGTCTTTTCCTAAGGCGGTTCTGTATCTCTTTCAGTGTCAATTCTGCAGGTTTTTGTTCAACACGCTTCTTTCTTAGACGATTCTGTAGTTCCTTCAGAGTCAATCCATCGCTATCACTATCAGAAGTGTCATCATCATCTTTTCCACCTCTGTTTTTTGAGACAGTCTGATCCTTATCATCTCTAGAGTCCCTTTTTTGAGTGCTAGTTTTTACGTCTGGGGTGCTCTCTACACTGCCTTCAGAGGCAGTCTCAACATCTGTAACTGGACAGGATGCAGGTTCACTTGAATCTTCAAGTGCAGTAGGAACAATTTTCCTCCCTCTACGTCTTACAGTTGTAAGAAATTCTTCCACTCTTTCAGTGCGCTTGGGTTGCCGTCCGCTACGTCGGAGGGACAAGTTTTGCTGCTGCTGCGGTTGTTGCTCACTAGTGTCTATATCAATATCTCCTGCACCTTCTCGCTTAGCAATTGTAGTCCTTCGAAAACCCCATGTTTTCTTGAATTCCTTACTTGTGGGCTTGATGGCTTTTTGTTCCTCCTCATTGCTTTGCTCACCTTTATCGTCTAAAGCTGACGCTTAAAGAGTAAAATTTTAAGAAAGAATTCCTCATTTAGGGTCATAAGTTATTTATTTTTTAACACACAATTTTTCCAAACCTAATTAAGTTTTCTTTGGGAAACTAGATATATACGTAAAAGATGATATACCCCTAAGTGGGGGTGTTTTTCTGATGCACTAAGATTTCCTACAGAGATTTAGGGTCCAAGGTAGCAAAATCGTCCTATTATACTGTCATGCAATTCTACGCTTCATTTTGTGGTCATGATAAGAAAAAAATAGGCAACCTCTCTCCTAAATACCTGTGGTGTTCCATCTGACAGCAGGGTTTGCTTACTGGCTCACTTAATGCTATGTCAACATAAACCAGCTGTTAGGAATAGCTCACCCAATACATCCTTGTCCCTCATGGTTTAGGCATGTTAGAAGCTTCTATAATACACTAGTAGGGATGTGAAAGGTTAAACAATTAACTGTTAAGTGTGGTGATAATGGGGGAGTTTACTGGATCTCCCCACCAGCTCAGTCTGGCAAGGAACGGGACAGGGAAGCCACAGGATGCCCCAGCAAGAATCAGAAGACTGTAGGGCAGGCAGGAGGGATGGAGGGAGGAGCAAGGGGAATGGGGACTAGTACCCAAAGCCTATGAGAAAAACAGGAAGCATTCTAATGACTCAATTAAGCAATTAGCTGTTGTTCCACAGGTGCTCCCTCTTTCCCAGCACAGGGCTTCAGGTGGGCTGTTGTCTGGCTGGGCTTCCCTCTTCCCCACCTACCCCCAGTCAAAGGGCCCCAGGAGTTGGGATAGGGTCCCAGAAACTGTGTTGAAGCTGCTGTGTTACTGGTTAATCATTTAACTGATTGTTTAAATGATATAATTATAGGAAGGTTAGACAAATATTTTTTAAACAATGTTTACAACCCTGTACTTTGTATATACCTTAAATATAAAGGGATGTAAATCCTGGCTGCAGAGTCAATGGGAAAATTCCTATTGATGAAGCTGTTGCTTAAAAAAGCTTATACCATGCATCTCTGATTTAGTTAGTCTATAAAAGGTACAAATCTATCCTGCGTTCTGCCTGACTTAAAACTAACATGGCTAGCTACCTCTCAAAATTCCTTTTTGGCCCTAATAACATCAGGATTTCATAAAGCAGTATTACTGTACCTAAAGTACAGTCCAGACAATGACTACCCCAATTAGATAACAGAGAGAATGGACAACACTACAGACACAATCAGTTTATAGTCACTTCAGTCAAATGTCTGTTCCCTGTTTACCTCTACCATTTTTTGAAAAAAAAAATTGAAATTTTTAAAAGTTTAAAATTGATTGGGGGAGGGGGTTGTTGTTTTGGTTTTTTTTTTTAAATTCTCAACAATAAAATACAGGAAAAAATATACTGGCGGTTTTTGTTTTTTTAGCTTTTTCAACACTTAAGAGCTAGTTTAAATGTGTCAAATACACTGTGAATCATTTGACAATGGCATTATCACTCACTATTATTTATCAACTCTGAGAAACCTCTCTCATAGTGGGTGCTTATGGGTGGAAACATGAGGCAAGTCAGGACTTCCAGGTGCTACCATAATAAAAAAAAAAAAAGCAGCAGCTGCAGATTGGCTCATGGCAACAGAAACCTAGAGCTAACCTTTACAAATCTGATAAAAACCCAAAGCCATTAATGTTACAGCAATTTCAGTCTAGGTTTCTTGGGCATTTCTAGGAGGTGAAAGATACCAGAGTGCAGAGATTTATCAGATTATTGATCCAAAGATAAATCACCTAGTGATCAAAGTATGTATTCCACCCATCTTTGTAGAACATCAATCCTGATCAACTGATCCCTGCAACAAACCCTTTCAGTAGGGATCCTCCAAAGAGCATAAAAAAAATAAAGTTGTTAAGAGCTATTAATGCTGTGGATGCACTACAAAAAACTGAAAACAGCAAAACTCATCGCAAATAGTGCTTCCTGCGAAAAGCAAATCACTATTTACGGGAACATTAATCTATCAATTCAGCTTTTCCACAGCCCATGCTGCTTGTGGACAAAACCTAGATCTGGGGTGCCCAACCTGCAGCTCTTCAGAAGTAAATATTGTCTCCTTGAATCTTTGCACAAGCACAGTGACCAGCTTCCACAGCTGTTACATCACATCATTACATATTACTGTGGCTTTTTGGCAATGTACATTCCCAAATTCTGACTCCTTCTCAGGCTCAAGTTGGCCACCCCCTGACCTAGATAAATAGACTAATTGTCAAGTATAGGTAGAAGAGATTATTACACTATTCTTAATGGTCAAGGACTCCTCTTAAACCACTGCCCAGCTGCTAACCCTCATCTGTTTAAATCAGGGACTGTTAGGTTAATCTCAACTGCTGCAGTAGCGTACAAGGAGAAAAGCAGTTTCATAGGTAACCAACAGTTCAAGATTTCAATTTATTTAGAAAAATACAGGGGAGAAAAAAAAAACCCATCTGCTAAGAGTGAAATCAACCACTGAATTAAATGTTGGATGTACCTGTCTATCCTGATTTGTCTGTGTTTATAAATCATCTGGGTAAGTGACCATGTCTTTGCTTTTTACTGAAAACGCTACACTGACAGGGGCATTAGAATATAGTGCTCTTCCTAAGAAATATATTTGGACATTAAATTGAACAGAAGTCTTTTTTTTTTTTTTTTTTTTTTAAAGAAA